TCGAAGAGACCTGCTAAAAGTTGTTGTTACAAAGTCGAAAGAACACAATGGTCACTTCAGGCTATTGAATTATTATCTCTTTTTTGTTTTACTTTAACAGAAAATAAAAAAAAATATTTGGAATAAACATTGGTTGAGTTGAAAATAGTAAATTAAACTAAGAAAAAAAGCATTTTTAAGATATCCACCATTTTATGTATGAAAGCGCAGGGTGAAGACATGATATTTATGAGTATACAAGTATTTACGCAAGACATCACTGCAATAGGGAATAAAAGCATCCAGTACAAATTCTCGAATAGAGGTCTTTGAAATTTCTGAAACAGAACAAAATTTATCAATATTTTGCACTCTCTTCAAAATGCGATTAGTTCCATTGGACCCATACGTGGCAACCGAACTATTAAAATGTTGACCTTTTCTTTCTTTTTCTATTGCGGGTCTTAACCACACATGCTAGGCTTCGTACTACGAAAAGGCTATGGCTATTTAGGCATTCTCGTATCTTATTCATTTTCTGTTGATGCTAAAGTTGACTGCTGACAGTTACCGTTACACCGGATGTCACGTGCAGAACATTTTATGCTGTGCTACATTTCGATATTTCTTTTTTTTTCAATTTTTACCTCTCTGCTCACAGGCGCTGCGCTGTGCATTTCTTCAACCGCACAAGAGATATATGCATGTACATATATGTGGGTAGGTATCTATGTGTGTATGTACATGTGCCGGAATGTGTGCGCCTATGTGCAGGCAGGCTGTCTACCGYAATTACAACAACCGTGTAGGATAAATTAGTTGAACTGCTTTTTGGGCGCTCGCAGCGCTTTTACCTCTCTCTTTGTACCCCCATCCCTCTCCGCAAATCAGCGTAGTCCACAATACGCTTGATGCTTTTGTGCTGCGAGCGTTTCAAACTTTTTGTTCAGCTATTAGTTAGGACAGCAGGCTCCCATAGATATGCCCAACACTCTGACGCATATTTTACGGAATTTTTCGCCTTTTGTGCTTTGTTGTTGTATTTCTGTATTGGTTTTTTTTCTCTTGATACACAACTTTTTCTTCCTCATTTCACAATTTGGCTTCTTTTTTCTTTGAGCTCGGATGTGATTTTGCGCTTTTGTTGCGGCATATTTTCGTTGTTGTTGTTGTTGCTATTGTTGTTGTATTTGTACCCATGCCCTCATGGTTTCTGTTGTGTTACGTCATGCGTTCATTATGCTCGCTTTGTTTGGCTGTTTGCGGTATTTGTTGTTGTTGTTTATGCTTATTTCCTCGATGCATTGTTGATTGTTGTTCCCTTTAATTATTGTTATTGTTTGCTGCATAATTTCAGTGCGGCCTGCAAATCTCACTGCGTACAGCCACAGTCTAAATGCCGAGATTTTTAAACTGACTTCTTATGCGATTCTTTTGCTCTTTTCCCCTTTTACTTTCAATAAGTTRTCTTTGAAGAGCAACATATTAATAACACTTAAAGCTAAGATACTGCAATTATAATTTATAGACGAATATCTACTTTTTATGCATTCGCTGAAAAAGCTTTATGTGGGAAATAATTATATGTGGAGAGCGTCTTAATGTTCTTGAGAAGTTAAGGCTACTTCAGTTATCTATACATGTCGGATTGTCGTATAAATCGTAATCTAATTAAGCAATCTCTAGGCAGTTGTTGTGAGAGAATGTTGATTTTCGGACACTAACCTTGAAATCCATGAGAAATGAGCAACACCTTACGTTAGAGACACCTACAAAGATGCTGACTACACCGATTTGAGCGGGTAGAATTAGTCATAGAAGCAAGGAAGTACACAATATATAGGTACTTTGATAGAAGAAAGAGCAGTGAAACTAAGAATAAGTTCGTTACTGTAAGAACTCTCCGTGTTCTGTGTAAGCTGTGTAAGCTTTTTTAAAGTGTTGAGATTCCTAAACCTTATAAGAAGAGAAATTGGTATGAGCGCACAGCATAAAAATAAATTATATTGCCGCAGCATACAAGCATACAAAAACGGGACCTGAGAGATATCATCTCACCTCACAATATGGAAGTCAGTAATATGCCTTCTTTATTCTCAGAGATCAMGTACAGGATAAAGCTATAAATGTGAAATTCCTTTTACCGAACACCAGCCTATAGACATATAGTAAATCAAAAACAAACCTTTTACTGATTGGCTATACTTGTATTATGGCGCATAGCTAGGGTGCAAGCCCAAAACTAGATCTTTGGATATTAAAAAAAAAAAAAAATATCTTATATAAACTAAATTAAATGATTCTTAGATATAGCAATTCAATATGAAAAATAAAATAAATGCAATAAATGAACCAACTGGTACTCTTATTGATAATTATAGTTGGATAGTATAAGTGTAAATGTTTGACGTCTTTCAGGGTTTAATTGCTAATAAATGAAGCAGTCAACTAATACTAATTATTCAAACGATTCCAAAAAATGTATAAAGCAAAGTTATAAAAAATGATGAAACCCAACTTAAAACAAAAATCCATTCAAGTAAACTAGAAATGAGTCACATAMGATACTCGGCAGCATTAAACAAACACCTTACTTTTCAGCATGTAGGTGAAAATTATGAAATTCATGTTCTTTTTGTTTCTAAGTTGGCRGAAGTGWACTCAATAAAATAAGAAATATTTTTAAGGATTTTTTGATATTTTGCAATAAATTTTTTCATACAAAAAAAAATAAAAATAAATAAAATAAAAACACAATTACTGTGCTCTACAAAAATACTTAATAATAATACATTAATATAAATCTTAAAATAATATAATACAATTTTTTCATAAAAACATTCCTTTATAAGTTATACGCCATCAACATTATGCAACAGATGAACTTTATTCATRTAGTACAMCATGTCGTATAAGCAACACAGAATGTGTGCTCWTTTGATACATAACGTCAACTGCGTGCAACGTTTAAAAGGGGTGTTTTAATGAAACAAAAATATTCAAATTCTCTTTTAAAGAGCGAAATATTTTTTATTTGGATATAATTTCTGACGGCTGTGAGCACGCTGGTTTAATGCAAAATATCAAGAAATGCCTTGTTGTATATACAGAAAAAACAATTAGGCCCCACTTAACGCGTCGCAAAATCATAAAAYTATAAATTTTTACGCTTTTTTACTAAAATRGTTGTTGGATTACATACAAAAATKAGTTTACGAAATTACAATTTTWAACACTATGTTTTCTGTTCGATATAACTTATAACTTTATGAGACTATACGAAAACCCGAAATATTTTAGTCGCGGTTTATATTGAAAATATGTTATATCCTTATATTTAGGACAAAACCTGAAACTTCATGGGGTGTTTATATAGTAGACAGTCAACTTGGGGAATTAGGATATCACTCACCGAACCTAACAACTCTCATAATTGTAATAAACGGAAGAGAGCGATAATTGTGAACAATTCGTTTTCGTTAATCAATAATTAGATTAGTGTAAGACTTGTTCTACCCTCCGAATATCTACGAAAAGAGGCTAACCTAATCTGAATTCTAAAAATTACAGTGTTTAACGTACGTAACTTGTTTATACGTTTTACAGATCATTCAAGAATTTATCCTTTAACCGCATATATATGAAAAAAKAATCATTTTCAAAAATAAAAGAAATTTAAATATCTCCTGGAAAGCACTAGATTACCTATTGTCCACCTAGTCCCGCATAGACAAAATAACAACAATAAACATACTAGGCGCAAAGTAAGCTCGACATCCGTTTTCTACTCGGTGACTTGTAAAATCGCAGTAACGTCAAAGTTAAAGAGAAAATTAAACAAAAATATTGTAAGTTGAAAACTAAATTATGAAGATTAGAAAAACGCTGGGAGACAACAATGCATTTTGGAGCACTTATACACAAAAAATATTATGCCACTAAGAGGTAAAGTAAACTTTAGTAAACAAATAGAAGAAGATAATRCATGAGCCTCAAAACCTTTTAAAAAGGTGAAAATAAAACGGAATACAAAAGGGTTATGCACGCGTAATGTGGCACAGTTTTGGGTAAACAATCTTACACTTATACATACAAATCCGGAGACACACATATAAAGTTACAATTTGTGCTGAATATCATTTTTCCTCACTAAATTATACAAAACTGTTATACCACTCAAAGTCCAGAGAGAAACAATGAAAATGAGCAAAAGAGAGCGCTCATAACAAAGTGAGTTTGTGCCATGGATGCTGCACGACGCGGCGTATGAGCAACATCGAATAAACTGAAAGCATTCGGTCTCTCAAAAGGAAGAGAGAGAGAGAGAGGGAGAGAGAGAGAGAGAGAGAGAGAGCGCTAAAACACTGACCTAACACACATTTCCGATGCCAACGCGCAGTGACAAAACATATCAAGGGTCGCCCGTGCTTTGGAATTTTCCTGCACACAAAATAATAATTTCGAATTCGAAAAACTGCGCTTAGTCAAAATATTCGAATTTTCACAACGAAATGCAGCGATGTGTCGCGYTGAGAGTATGCTGGCATGCATTTCGAAAGCAACAAAACCAAAAACAATAAAGGTGTTTGACGATTTTGCAGCTGCTTGGATTTGCTACGTCAGTAGAAACGGTTTGTTAGTCGCGTTGAGCGGCGGTTGATTTTGCSTTGATTGCGTTTCGTTGCAACAATGACGTGCTTAAGCAGTATGTAAACTTTTCACGTATAAATTTACGCGCGTGTWGCAAGTATATTGATGTGATTTAGTCAAGAAATTTGCGGGAAATTTGGTTAAAGTTGTTGTGCCATGCAAAATAGTTAAGTTGAAGAAAAATTGTTAATGGTATAAAATGAAACGGGAACGAAAATATAAATTGTGATGAGCTGAAAAATTTTTGGCAAACAATTTTTTTATAAAAAATTTAATAAAAATAAGTAAGTTAACAAAATAATTTTGAAATAATGATAAAAAGGTGAAGGTCTGTTTTAAAACTTTTTAAGGAATTGTTGCAAAAAGACCAAATGGAACCTGCGCGTGTGTATGTTTTGGTAAAAAGACTTAATTTTTGTTGAACGTTAAGTCTAAAGTGATCCTCAAAGGTAAGCTTTCAAGCTCATTCTAATTTTTTTACTTAAACAAAAATTGGAAAAACGCAATAAATTTTATTTATATATATAAATTACTAYTTTTGTTAAATTAACTATCAAAATGTCTTTCTTGATTATTCCGCTRCATAAAGCAACTCAATTTTTAAAAATTTTCTTGCATGTAAACCGAAATGGTGCCTATCAATAATGATAACAAAAATTAAAACGGTTTCAAACAGGCAATAACCCGTTTCCAGTTACCTTAAATGACAGTTTATTTTCAACAAGCATGCAAGCTTTTCTTTAAAGTCCATTTTTCCAGCTCTCATTGCAGCATCAAGCAATCTGATGAAACAGAAAGCTGCATCTTGCAMCATAGTTCGGTGCGAAATTAGTAAATTATGTTAGCAAAATTCAAAATGTTGATTTTTTGTTGTAGCAGTGCCGCTATTACACCTTCAGGTTATAGTTTCACTAGCAGAAACAGGCTTGCATGCCAACAGGCGCTTATTCTGCGATTGCCTCTGCGCACCGCCTTCGCCAGCATCATCAGCAGTGCACATGGACACACAACTACATTCGTCTGCTGTCACTTGTGCTGGTCTGCAGCGGCTGCCGCAATGCAGATGGTTTCTAACTTATACACGTCTACATATATAAAYGCACGTTTACAAAATTATAACTATGAACTTAAACGCACATACGCACACAACTGCAASTGTGCGAACACTTCTCTGACAAAATTCATTTGCACTGACGTCGTGGTACGTGCTTCATTTTCGTAATTTTTCCATATTTAACTGCCGTAATTGTAGCTTTTTTCGCCCTCTCTACTACTTTGTGCGCTTTTCCTTCATTTTTGTATATCTCAACTCYACTGACACACATTTCTGCGCCGTTAAAAGAGAAGAAACAAGTTTTAATTTGAAAGCAACAAATACTTTTAGATATTTAAATACKCGTCTTTTATTCCAAAATTCATTTAAACATTTACATGTACTAATTTTTTGCTTGTGTGCCTTCATATGTATACAATTCATATAAAGTYCCAAATCTCAATGGTTGAGCACTGCGTATGAGTAACCCGCAACAGTTGCCGCCACTGTTTTATGTTGTTCATGCGTGTTTGTATGTTTATGTGCCCATATTTATTTAGATGTTTAATAGCACATATAATATATATATACACACAGAGTATCCGCATTGTGGCACACGCTAATGAGCAGCAGCGAACTGTCAACGAACTGGAATTCAGTGAACTTGGCTTTGTTGTTTTTCTGTGTCAAAGCATTTCGTTGCGCAAATARAAATAAAATCAAAGTGTGCAAAAAGAACTTTAAAGAAATATCAGAGTATTTTCTGCAATTTGCTGTGACTCATAAAATATGTTGAAAAATAAAGTCAGCTAAACAGCTTTTTAGGCACARTTGATAAACATGAAAATTAATCACACAATTCAAGCTAAGGTTCAATGTCTTTTTGCACATAAGAGTTTTCCTGTATCGCCTTAGTCTTTTTGGAACATAAAGTTTCACCTATTTTTTTCTATATATTTTTTTCTATTATTCTCCCCATAGAGGCTTCCCATATTTAATGGAACATCCAATCATAGAGTCATTAGTTTCATGTAATTTCTAAAGTGTCTTAAAAAGGGACTTAGTATTTTCCATTCTCAATAAGATATTATACAATTATAAAGAAACACAGATACAAGAATACAGAAAAAAAAATTATTATTCTAAAAAATTAGTAGCTTTTCGAAAGGAGGATTTGAAAAAATTGGCTCGCGACCAAACCCGATTTTTCGCCACCTAGCAATCTGAAATAAAAAAAAATATTAATCTAAAATAATATCACAATATCTGCAACTAAGAAAATATTAAAAAAAAAAAAAATACCGCTTGCTGAAAAAATGTTCCTTTTTCAACCACCTTTCCTTGTGTGTTTCGAGTTTTCTGAAAATAATAAAAGTTTAAATTATACGTCTCTGTCCATTCTGGCCGAACCAGTTTGACAGMCGGACCAGAAAAATAGTTATACAAAACGATATGTTCGAAGATTATGACGTTGTACTAAACATAGAGTATTGTCGGATTTCGTGAAGATCTATTGTGACAAAAAGGTGMCCGRAAATTGTAAATAAAAYCAAAAATATTTAATTATTCATYAATATTTATTTTGCCGCCTTCAAAGTAATCTCGATCGACTGGAAACGGACCCCACGTAGCGGCAATTTCAGATTGGGGAGAAAGAAAAAAACACACGGAGACAAATCAGGTGAATACGGTGGTTGATCGATTGTTGATCGATGGCAGTCTTTGCGTTTTTGACTCGATGCAATAGTGCATTATCATCATCTAAATCTGATGTTCCACAAAAATGCCTCAATCCGGCCAAATGGAACTCCTTATTGACACCTGTCCCTCCGGAACAAATTCATAATGCACCAAACAGCGAATATCGAAAAAATTTAGAGCATCGCTTTATCTTTTGAGCAATTTTGGCGCGGTTTTTTTTAGTTTCGGCTCTTTGTTTTCCTTCCATTCCGACAATTGTTGACTTGCCGTATCAAACTCATAWAGAAATGTCTCCTATTTATTCGTAATGCCTCCCATAAATATGGAATCGGAATACACACGATGAGACATGTCCAAACACACGCGTTTACGGTACTCTTTTCGAAGAAGATTTTAACGTGACGAGTCACGCGAGAACGCGTTTCGAGATGTTGAACTCTATCGCCATCTCTCTAACACTTTGCCTGTCGAGTACCATATCCTTCGCTTATTTAATACTTTCATTAAATGAAAGGTCCAAGGTCGTCCAGAACAAGGCATGGCTTTAACGATCTTTCCCAGCCTTTTGTTTTTGATAAAACTGAATCACCGTAAGCCTTTTCGAACAAGCGCAATGAATCCGCTCACGAAATTTGGTTAGAAATACAAAAYTTGAGAAAAACTTWGGCTTGATATTTTTATCCGTTGAAAAAATCGAAACGCACTGCTGAGGTATACYGACATAAGSAGCTGCTGYAATCAAACTGGTTGACAGGTCACTCTCATTTTAGACATAATAATTATGAACCATCAMAAAAATTTAGCAAAATACGCTTTCTAAAATATCATTTACCCGAAGCACTTAACTTACTTTTACTTTTAAGACACAATTTCTTTTATAAAATTAAAAAATCCACACTAGAACTTCATTTGGATAGATTAGTTTGTATGGTGGATATCTTTCATAGTGTAGAACAAATGAGCACTTCTTGAAGAAAAAAGTCGAGYGCAAAAATTCAAGTCGCTATCTAAAAACTTGAGGGACTAATGAATCTTTAAGACTACAAAAAGTACACACGTGAAGGGMTATTTAGCTTCAGCTTTCTAAAATATTGCAACATTCTTGATGTAACCTAAATTTATAGATACGAGCTTAAGCTGCTCAAAAGCTTCAACAAAAAATTATTTTAAAGTTTATAGAAGAAGGTTTTCAATATCAGTGMCGTATAATCGCATGCATTTAAACGAAACTCAGATGTTAAACTCCTAGATATTCATCTGCAGCTGAAAGATTTTAATGCAAAAAAAAATTTGTGCTTAAAAAGTTTTTGTTTTAGCTGTAAAACAACTCTGAACAAATTCAATTTCCCTAAGATTTATTTCACAAACTCACAAGGATTAAAATGACAAGCGCTTTTTTGTTTTTGTTTTTTTTGAATACCGTTAAAGAAAATGAGTCAAAGCGGAACATAAAAGAAGTAACTTCACCCATATTTATGTATATAGAGTATACTGTAGGCAGCAGCCGAAAGGAAAACATTGCTGAAGCTGATGTCGCCCAAGACAGCCAATCAGACAGACAAACGGGAGAGCAGCAGGTGACTAAATGCAATATCCTGCACACTTTCGGCGGGCAACGCAGAAAAAAAAATAAGAAAAATGTTTGCAAACGAAATGAAATTCAATACACTAGAAAGCGCACAAAGTGGAAATGAAGAAATTAGGCAAGGTAATTTGGCAAGGAACACGCGCAAAGAAATGTGAGCAAAAGCAATTTTATAATTGCGATAGACGCGCGCTAATAAATTAAAGCTTTCACCACGACGARAAAAAGTTGCCGAACGACAAATTGTTAAAGCGTTATATATCATAGAAGTATGCCAGTCTCTACAGGGGGCGCGTGTGAGGTATTTTTAAATTTTTTTACCCTCACGCGAAACGCAAACGCGCCCTTAAGTGGCGAAACTTTTATACTTTCTTACGCGCTGGGAGTTAGCTTAAGTGCCATTTGTAACTRTTTTTGGCAGACATTTCCGTTAAAACACCTTTATAACAATTTCCCGCAAACGTCACTACCTACATACATATATATGTGTATGTGTCCACAAATGTCTGCCTCGCAGGCGAAGGAATGACTGCATCTGTCTACAAATCCGCTGCTTCCATGGATTATGGATAGGCAAAGTACCATGAACAATTTGTGTTTTATTGTAAGCAGCAACTTTTAAAYTGTCGCTATATGCCAAACTCGCATTTTAAGTGTTATTGCTGGCAAAGTCAGTGCCAAGAGCGGGTCCGTGCTACCGTACGCATASCGGCGACCGAAGCAGCCAAGTGTTGCCAAAAAATCTCTTATGCCCAATGCCAGTACACGTTTTCAAGAAATGCAATCGCTAYATGTCTACAGACATAAACACTTGCTCTGGTGTGGAAGTACACTGTAGCACAACAAAATAGTCACGCTTTGAAATTTTTCTTTCTATAAATCCACTGAAATTTKTCCTATTATAAATGCAGGTAGTAAGCTGCTATGATTATTTTAWTGAGTTTAGAATTTTTTTCAAATAYCTACCACAARGAATGTTTGTGGACAGAAATTGTAATAKCGTCTCTCTATCTTACAAAWATTATTATTATTTTTTCTTTGAAATATCTCACAGATATTTCGTTCTGGSCTTAACACATTTTGGCTAATTTAATGTACTCTGCTCAGAATATTAAATCAATAAATAATAT